GGCGCCAAAATGTTTCGGGCTTTTTTGATAACCTGCGGGAGAGTTACAATTCCGGGACTGGTCTCCTTGCGCCTGTACCTGCAAAACAACGGAGACTGCTTGTGGTGGGAGTTCCGCCTCCGACGGTCAAGTTAGTACTTGTTTGAGGAGTAATAAGTGCGGAAAATTAAAGGTTGGGAGATCTGGTTCCTCTAAGGGAGGAGTGATCAGTGTGTTTAGGATCTCTAGGTGAGAGTAATTAATTGCTGAATCCCCCTTTAATGAGGATTAATGAAGGTATTTATATACCTTAGGATGTGTGCCAGTCTAGGTTTAGGTCAACCTAGGGCTGATTGGGCTTCCACAAGACTTTGGGCCTAGGTGGCCGGTTTTCCCATTTGGCATGGGGGAGGCCACGTGTCGTGGCATAAGAGGTCCAAGGTGGACTAGTCAACACTTGACACATGGCAGGCTCCAATTGGTCCATGTGGCGGACACTTGGCAGAGCCTGAATGGTCCATTTGTCAGATGGTGATTGGTAGGGAAAAATTCCCTAATCAGCTAGCAGCCTTTTATAGCCTAGCCCTCGCTCGGCTTGGCCAACGCGAGGCTAGAGCTATATATTAACTTGTTGTTTGGTTGATTTTTCTTCTTCGTCGATTCCTATAATCGACTTGACTTACGACGCTCGGTTTCAATGCTCTAAGCTCACAATCCGACGTCTTTGTTCGTAATACTCTAATGACTCATTTAATCCTTCGGATTTATTCATTGTTTCGGTTACGTTACCCGATTTGGTGTGACCCAAAGGGTTCAGTCAAGATTAAGTTGTAATATTAATTATGCATTAATATTACTGATCGGAAGCGACCTCCAACTAGGCATTCCGATCACTTGACCTCACTGAAATAATTAGCTTTCTAATAATTCTGAACCCTCTATCAGAGTAATACACTTGTTCGAAGGACACCATTCCTTTAATAAAAGCATCCTAACATGATACTAGGAATTAATATAAAATTCTATACATGATTTCTATATCAAAAGAATAATTCAGATAGTAAATCTACTCACTTTGATGCCTCGTATCTCTTTCTATCAAAACAATACATGAGTTCGTAACTTTAAGAAGGATCAAATCAAATAAATAAATCAAATAGAAATTGAAATAAGGATTAGGGACCAAACCCTCTGAAATATCAACCTTTCACGTCGAGATCGAAGGCAACTACGAGAAGGGCTTGGAGTATTTAAGTCTCGCAAAGGTCGTATGGTGTGTGATGTGTTTAGGCTAAGGCTAAGAAAAAAAGAGAGAGATAGGCTTATTGCTTAGAGAGGGATTAAGATGATGATTGTTGGTGAATGAAAACGAAGGAAAACATCCCTATTTATAGAAAAAAACGAGGGAAAAGATCAGAAAAAGAGTCAGAATCCGACTCGGAGTAAAACGCCTTTCATCGCGTGACGATAGATCCATCGCGTTGCGATGCTTATATCGCTGCGAGATATTAGCGTCGATGTGCGATATTTTCATTGTTTCGCGATGCTTTTTAGAAGATAAGATCCGTACGGAATCTGACTTCCAATCAAATCGGGTTAGTCTAATATCCGTAATTATCCTTATTTTATCAGAAGTAATCTATTAAAAACAAGTATTTTATCCGAAGTAAAATTTTCAAATTTAATATTTTCAAAAAGAGGATAATTAGATCCTTCTAGAGGATTCTAGAAGCTAATAATAAATCCTAAGGGATTTAGGAATGATTTTAAAGGTTAAAGGACCCTCCACATGGTCATTGGGTCGTAGGTACGGTTCGGTTTGGGCTCGATTTAGTATTTTGGCCATAACTTCCTCGTTATAACTCGGATTTGGGCTTCTAATATATCGTTAGAAAGCTCTTTTCAAATCCCATCCAAATACACAATTATTGGACCAGGATTATGGACTAAAATAAACTTATTTGGACGTTTTTATAAAGATGACACGAAATGAATGATTTTCAAAAACACGTAATGAATTATTTTGGCTGTAAAGGCACGAAATAAATGATTTTGGCTTAAAACATTTAAAGAAAGGTTAAAAATGGTCAAGGATTAGGAAATTCACAAGACTCTTCAACTCTTCACCTAACTCGATAATCAAAGACATGAAAGGTACTCATCACTGGGTTTGTTTTTTGAGGAGACACAATCAGGTGTCTACAAATATCAATTTTGAGTTATCGAAGAAGAGTTAGCTTGTTGTTAGTGATAATAGAATTCTACAATACATTTGATTTGATAACTTTGAAAGAATTACCTCTAAATAGATAAATACTTCGCATTCCTTTTTTACATATAATTTTACAATTACTTCTAATTCCTAATTGCATTTAATTGTTTTATTACAAGAATTCAACAATTAGTTTTATTTGATAATTTTACAAGTATTCAAAATGACCAATTTTCAGGACAAAATCGATTTGATAATTTCTTTGCCCAAAAAATAATATGTAGCAACCTCAGCACTAACATATACGTAAGTGCTGCAAAGATAATTTTATACTCTAGTTTGGTGTTTGGTCTTCATTCCTATAATGTTTGAAAGCATTATTTACTACTTTTTGTATTTATTATTTAAATTCATCTTTCCTTAATATTTCTATCTACTCAATCCTTTACATTCCTATCTAGTCACCCCTTTATATTTCTGTTTACCTAATAATATTCTTTTCGTTAATAGGACTGCTTTCCTAGTCTAAATTGATGTAAGCAAGAGTTAATAGGACTCCTTTCCTAGTCTAATTAAGTGACAATTGTGCTACTGAAATAACAATTTTGAATCTCCTTATTAAAAGAAGAATGAAAACACCCTATTGCACTAACTAATTAAAAAAAACAAATATCATGTACAATAAATATGAACCAACACAACTTATAATAATATAATAACAAAAGTTCCTCTAATAAGAGGGATGATATTAGTACAAAAGACATTGGGTTGTACTTTAATGCACCAAAAGTGACAAAAACTTTAAATAATAATAACCTACATAAATAGACCCCGATAACCATGATTACACCCATATTTTATAGAAAACTACCTCATACATGCATAGTTTAACACAATCATTACTTTAAATCAAAGAAGACAAACCACAAAACCCTAATTAATATTCAAAATCATAATAGTTTAGAGCTCTTCACTTCCATCATTAGACACATCATCATCGTTTTCGATATCATCTTAGATTTCATCTTCTGTATCATCTTCACTTGATCTGATATCTTCGCCTTGTTCCCAATCCCAATCCTCATCTGATTCGAGGGTCGCATAACCTTTATCTTCACCATTCCATTCGTCGGCCGAAGTTAGCCCCCAACTACTGTCAAAAAAATAATTCCTTGTCTAAACTTTTCCAGCAAAATCCAACACTATTTGGTACTCCTCTGGGTAGTCAGTAGATTTTAAGGGGTTGGCCTTACAAAGAACAATATGGGCAGTAGGTTCATAACCATTTTTCTGAAACATCATCGCCTTGAATAGGACATATTTTGAATCATATCCAAAACCAATTAAGTGGTAAGTTTTAGAGAAATCATCATGAGAGAAGCCAACCCATTCCATAGTTAAGATGGGTTTGTCAAGGTCATTCTGGGGGTCAAAGAACTTCCTACCCAACACTAACAAACCCCAAACCGTACGGTCATTTTTGTGGGGTTCTATTTTTTCTTGAACCATGAGTAGCCAATCCTCCAATGGCATGAAAAACTCAAAGACCCTTCTTAAGAAACGATAAAAGTGGGGAAACATTAAGCAATTAAGAAAGTGCGTCTTAGGTGAGCTAGGTTAAAGCTAAAACACACATTGGAATAATTTAGGAGGTAAAAAAATATAACAATAGGCCTCTTTCTTAAACTGTTTAGTCGTCCCGAGTGACTTAGGTGTTAAGAACGGATACTCAAGATGGCAAGTAATACCTGTAACAACCCCAAACCCAAGACGAGTGATAATACTCAGTTGGTGTCCTCGCAACATCTATTTTTGACGTTCTAGAACATAATGAGTACCGAAAAGACGCTTAACGTCATGCTGCCTTTTTCATCCATTTGCTTGAGTAAGTCATCCAACTGTGCCATAGTCACATCCTCTCGCCTTTGCCGAATAGTTTTTTTTCTTCACTTGTCTCCTCCCCTTCGTCATCTTAGAAGTCACCATATGTTCCTCTGTCAAATTACATGAAAAAATTAGTATAAGTAAAATAAATGTCACAACATTGAATTAATTAGATAATAGAATTACAAAACATATTTGACAAAAATATACCTTGGGGTGCACCCACATTACAGTGGTAAAACAAGGGAATCACTCTTTTTCTTACTTTTGATAGATAAAATATTTTGTATTATGAGTTACTATGCCTATGAACTTACTATTATATAGATGTGTAAGGGTGTTGGAGTATGAATTATGACTACTATGACCTACTTGTAAAGCCATAAGGGCTAGCTTCTCAACCACCTATTAAATGATAAAAAAGTGTAAAAACTTTAAGAAGCACTAGACGAAAATGGTAAAAAGGCACCGGTTCAAACCCCCCCTCTGGCACCGTTTGAACCGTTGGGGATTTGAGGGATGCCAAATCCATGAAAATTTGGCACCGGTTCAAAACCGTTGCCACTAAAGCATTCAGCACCGGTTAACCGGTGCTAACTACATGATTTGGCACCGGTTAACCGGTGCCAACTACATGCTTTGGCACCGGTTAACCGGTGCCAACTACCATGGCGCCAAATTTTTTTTTATTTTCAATACTATTGGCTACGGTTCTTAGTTAGAACCAGTGCGAAATACCCCACTTTAGGCACCGGTTCTTGCTTTGAACTGGTGCCTATAGTCTCAAAAAAAAATTTAAAAAACTTTTGGCACCGATTCTGGTCCAAACCGGTGCCAAAAATACCCCAAAAAAATAAAAAAATAAATGTTTTTTTTTTTTGCATTTTTTTCACTTAAATTGTTATAGAAACATTAACATATATATAAAGTTACATTTTTTTCATTAAAAAAGGCTAAAATATTACAATTTTCGTCCAAAAACAAAATTGAAGTGTCCAAGGTTTCTGGCTGCTGTGTGTCTTCTGTCTGCACTGGTACTATTGTCCTGGTTCTGCACTGCTATTGCTGTTCTGCTGGTCTCATGGTCTCATGATATCAAAGTAGACTATGCGGACTTCCATTGTAGCAGAAAGACCTATTTCAAAGTCAAACGTTTAATTAATATCAAGCCATGTATATTAACCTCAAAAGTCAAGACATTCTTAATCATCATAATTTATGACCTTATAATCAATTATTTTGTTATCAATAATCTGAACCAAAAACACCACGGTAGGGATCTAGATTGATCACATGATGAATATCACCCTGCATATGCACAGACATTCAATAGATTCAATATCCTAGACTATAACATATCTTACCAAATAAGCCTTATCAACTATCATTCAATGTCCAATAAAAAAAAAAATTAAAAAAAAAATCAAAACAAAACAAAACACTATCATACGATGTCCATAGGCATAAAAGTTACTAATAAAGCAATACCTACTACCATGCTACAAGGGGTAACAATCTATTAAAATGATGGAAGAACAAAGTTGTACAGCATGAGGAGAGAGAGGCTAAAAGAAAGGTTACACGGTTACACCATACACCTTGATTGTGAGAGAATATTAAGAGATGGAAAGACAAGCAACAAAAATTCATGTCTTGCTACTAATTTAAAACCATTTGAAAACAGAACATAAAGCAGCAAGTTGTGGAATTGAAGTAGACCTTGGCAAGTCAATGCTTTAACTGTCCTTAGTTGTTGGCAGAATGTTAATGGTTGAAAATATACGGACAAAAGAGTGATGCATAAATTTTAGTTGGTGCAATTTTTCTCTTAGTTTTTTTTGCTGATAGGCCTACCTTGACACTCACATTTTGATTTTCTTTCAGCTTCTCTTTTAAATTATTTCAGTCATTAAGAAAAAAGGTAAAGTCTCTTGTATGGCTATGCACTATAAATAGTGACCTTTGTTGTGAATAGCTTTTCATTATATTCCTTTAGGAGTACTACAAGGGTCATCAAGGGCTCTTACAGTTTATTCTTGCCAATGATGATACGTGACACCTGCTGATTTCTATCTCCTTGCACTGTGAACTCACTACTTTTAATCCAAAGAATAACCTTTTGTCACTTTAAGCTAGATAATTCCATATGTTTACGAATATAACAAGAAACCTGGCCCTTTATGTCATTAGAAAATCAAACTAGTGTACACGATTAGAAGCTAGATGATAGGTTAGAAACTTTATAGCTACATTTTGTTAAATCTCAGTCTTAGAAGAAATAAACTTTAGGTCCAAGATAATCAGGAAGCAAACCAGAAAATGAAGCAATAAGGACTTTGGCTTTAGTCTACACATGGCCAAAGAAGGCAAGGAGGGGCAGACAATTTTGAAATGTATACCAATCACTAAAGTAGTATTTTAAAATCCTTAGTAGATTTGTCAATGCATCACATGCAATCTAAAGTTACTATATAGCAGGAAACAGAAGATCATACCCAACTATGGAACCAATTAACTATGAACCAACAACCTTGATGAGACCTCACATGATATAATATTACGATAATAAGAATGAGTACTTATAGGATTATCATGGAAAAGAACCTGTGGTATTGAGTATTTCCATGTATTTAAAGCCGTCAATCCAATGGTATTACTACTTCCACCATGGTAGGCATTTCTTAATGAAATCATGCCATGATTACCAGTATAAAGCTTTGCCATCAGCGTAGCCAATTCATTTGCTTCTGTCCCAGAATTGACGAAATAGACAGCCTGCATTTAAAGTTTACATTGATGAGCCAGAAATGCCATACCCTCACTTCAAGTTCTTGCTCACTTGAGAGTTTAATATCTAAAACCAGTAAAGGGGAAGATGGTATGTAGACCTGTGTAGGGGATCGTGATATATCTTGGAACATTACAACACAATAATGAAGTAAAGAATTGAAGAACATAACTTTATATTCTAAACCAAATGAGAAATTAAAGTAAATAAAAAAATTGTATAACTGATATATGAAATCTCAAATCAAGTTGATGTTAAAGGCTATCTTGTGAAAAGTCATGCACAACTATGGAGAAACAGTTTCATAAAATTTAGGATATGTTTCCTGAGCCATGAACAATTTTTCTTTTTTTTTCTATTTATAAAAAGGTTTTCTAAGACATGAACAAATTCTTCAGCTGATTTTTTCTTGTTAATAATGAATGCAGAAGGCATTGTTAACAAAATTTGTAAGAATTGAAAGCATATTGTACATTAACAATCATGTCATATACTAAAACATAGAATTCAGTTCTTAAATTTTGAGGAAAGCCTTGAAATCAACTAGTAAATTTATGAGTGAGATGCTACATAGTACTAGTAAATAATATCTATAACAAAATTAACAACTAACTACAAACTGCCTAGAGTGCAAGCAATGAGAGATGATGATCAGATTAGTGAGACATGTCAAATTAAAACAATAAGCAACATAACTTTGCAAGGGTTAAAGTGGGGCAATATAGGTTATGAGAAGCAACGTTTAGATTTCCAGGCATTTTCGATGCCAAAGCCTCTGCAAAGTCAGCTATGGCATGGTGCAAATATATAGTTGTTGCATGTTGAAGAAGTTTACTTTGCTCTATTGCAGCATTCAATATATCAGGGTGGCAGTGGCCACAAGACACAGTCACAATCCCTGCAAATGCATCAAGATAGCGTCTACCCGTCTCATCAAACAAATACTGCATCTTACCCTCCACAATATTCAGCTTAACAACCATGAGCATAGTTAAGTACCAATATAGAGGTATAAAACATCAGTGGCAAAGCTAAATATATACAGTAATGTAATTCAAAATTAAGGCGTCAATTTTTAACTTTTAATTTTAATATACCAATGTTATGTAGTTTAATATTAAGTCGTTCAGAACAATCTAACAATGACATGTAACGGCATTTTACATGAAACTAAAAGGTTTAAAATTTAATATGAAGTTTAATTTTTAGAGTTAAGTAGGGTCATTGCTTTGAACATAGCTCGGCCGACATTGAAGCCAACTGAAAGCAAAAACATATACAAGTTCTTCCATTAAATAAACTCCCTCATTTGGGATTCAATAATCATATGCCTAATTCAAATTACACTATCAACATGACTATTAAACCCGACACATAGGAGTATTTGATTAACACTTCTTCAACAACAAAAACCCAGAGAACCCAAATCGAAATTAAGAGGGTTGCAGTTGTAAGCTAACCCTAGTTTACAAGAACTAACCCTAAATTCGAAAATCAAATAAACGACAAACCCTAGATTGCGAAAACTGAAATCGATAATCTAAAAAGGACAAAAACAAATTTTGACCTCGAAGCTGCTTCAACGAAGGTGAGAAAGCTCGAATCTGCTTAAATGGAGAATTAACAATACGCGTAGTGGAGGAGTGATATGGACAAAGCTCAGAATGCGCTTTACTGGAGAACTACAAGCACGCGTAATGAAGGAGAAATAAGGAGAAAGGTGATCGAAGCTAAGAGAAGGGCGAAAACGAGAGTTAGGGTTAACGAAAATGAAATGCAGGGGGGAAAGAAAGAAAGAAGAAGAAGCAGAGAAATGAATACCCGATTTTTTTTTATTTCACCCGGTTTTTTTTTTTAAAAAAATGGCACCGGTTTAAACCGGTGCTAAATACCATAGTTGGCACCAGTTTAAGGCGAACCGGTGCCAACTCTATTCCATACTTTTTTTTTTAATTTTTTTTTTTAAATTGGCACCAGTTTGAACCGGTGGTAATTATATGATTTGGCACCGGTTTGGTTGGAACCGGTGCTAACGCTGAATGTTTCAATCCCGCCCATTTGTTTTGGCACCGGTTTTCACGAACCGGTGCTAAAGGGGGGATGCCTATTTCAATTTTTCTACTAGTGAAGCCTCATTTTTTCATTTGAACAAACAATCTTATCTTGCAATAATTCGGGAAATTGAAATATAATTTAACGATTTGGACATGATTTTTAGGACTTTAGGTGAATTCACATTATTAGACAAACAATAAGTATTATTAAAAAAAAAAATAAGAGGAAGTCCACTACACTATAACTCTTGCCATATAGTAGAAGTAAAGTAAGAAAGATATGATGGTTTGTAATAAATGTTAGCATTAAAGTGGCCAACACATATGATGCTTGTTTGTTTGTTTTTTTGGATTTGAGGTTTATTTGATGTATTTTGTAGTAGCCAACAAAACATAAATAATTTTATTGATTGATTTATAGATGTAGTTAAATATCATTTATCCAATGTTAAAATTATTTTAACCCTCTAATAAAACCTTAAACCCTTAGCTTAATGGAAAAATAAATAAAATTATTAAGTTTATTTGACCTATTGTTACCCTAGGGTATGAAGTAGGGGAATAACACCACATAAGCTACCTTCTGAACCACCAAATAATGATAAGTTGAAACAATTTATTACCACCTCATTGTTGAATTTAAACCCTCAATCATATACTTATGAAAGCTTATAAATACTTATATTGAAAAATATTATATATATATTTTTTAACATCATATTAGTGAGAAAATATTTCAATAATGTATTTTAATTATAACCTAGGACATTGTTATCGGATCGGACTCCGTCGGACTGTGTAGGGTTATAGTCCGATCCGCCTCAGCCATGTGTGATCTACTTCATATCCGCAGGCAAAAATTTGGATTTGGGTTCAGATTATTTTAAATTGCATTCCAGTAAGATTCTTTGTCATTCATAAAATATCGCATTTGAATCGAACTCGGATTGAATTCAATCCCCAATAACAATGATATGATGGTTGGTATTAAACGCTACTTTATTTAATTTTTGCCTTTCTCCTTTATTTGATCTTTTTTAGTTACCAAGAATGAAATAATTTATATTGTATGACTTATAGTTATCTTTATGTACAGTTAAATTATTCAAAACAAATCCTAAAACAAATACCCTTTACCCTTAACCCTTAATCCTAAACCCTTAACCCTAAACCCTTAACCCTAGACCCTAAGGTTGTTTGACTTATTGGTACCCTATGTGACTGCAATAGTGCTATAATATTAATATCACTAAATTCACCCATAGAATGTATACGTTATTGTTAAAAAAATAATTACAGACTAAGTCAATATACTAATTCAAAATTCATTATCGTAATAGTTTTTAAATAAGTCTTTATCGTAAAATATTCAATTTTTTACTTTTAAACAACCACGCCATTTAATCAATAATACCATATCACAAAAAGCAAATTCATGTAATTTAAGGCTTAAGGAATATCACTAGATGACCACCTATTAATTCACTAGATAGATTGCAAATGTAGGACTCTAATAGCATTCCAAGTGTAATCGATAGAATTATAGTTGTGGAATTCCATTGAACAAGTAATTAGATCAATTTGATTGAGAGCTATTTGCTCATAAAATATCTCCTTAGCTGTTTTCAAAAAGCAAAATACACAAGCTTAGTTTTGTAGTGGGAGTAGAGGTTAGTACCCTATTTCTTAAACATAGTTACATATCGTAAGGATACAAGAAGCAGTACAAATATATGTTAATACAAGTACAGTTTGAATTGCTACCATAATTAAATATAGAATCAGGAAAGCATTCAACAAAAGTTCAATCTTGTTGCTCCGATTGTTGTATTATCATTTTGTGCTTTGAATAATGGCTTGGAGGGTTGGGCGTAAAACATTTTCATCCGAGAATACATCCTCAACAACCAACTGGAGTCTAGCTTTAGGAATGGAAACCTGAATTGAAATGTTAAGGTTTATATGCATATAATTCAGTAAACAAATCAATAAAGAAAAACAGGCGCTATATTAGACTAAACACAAAACGTAGCATCAACAATCCACAAGTCAATAGGTCCGAGATTACCGTTCCACTTTCAGCTGCAAACCGTCCACAGCACAGCTTTATATAGTGAAGCATCAACACTCCACAGACCTTGCTGCATTACAAGAATTGCATAGTTTGAAAACAGGTGGCGTGCAATCAATAAAAAGTAATTTTATCGACATACCATTTGTGTACTCACTTATCTGTTTGTTGGGGGATTTCCAATTGCTTTAATTCCCACTAGGGCAACTCATTAACCAACTAGGAATGATCCACACAATGTAACATCACATCAACAGCTTATATCTAAAAGAAGTAGGTAGTTTAAAATTAGCCATTTAGATTTCACATAAACGAAAGGGAGGAAAATATGAGGTCTTACCAAACCCTAATGTAGTCTCGTGCCTGACCAATGCATTCATGAAGAGGGAGTCAATCACCCAAATTTTTTTATGCTGGAGGGCAAAGGCAATACACCACCAGTGCTCTTTCCCCAACACCGGAACGAACACCTAATTTTCACATGTGAATATGGTTAGACAGTAATTATCCATTTCAACAAAACTTGCAAAATAATCTTGCAAGGATTGAGATAAAGAATATCGTCATGTTGTCATACCACGCAAATATCAGATGTCAAGCATGTACCGAAAGGTCTTGACCACCTTCATCCAAGCAAGTCCAAAGCATGCTTCCCAACCTTCACTTGAACCTGAAAAAATGGTTAAATCAACTTAATGTGCCTTGCAATATTATTCTGTAAACATGAACAATCAAAACCCAACACAACCAAACACGTACTGCAAAATAATGATCAAGGATTATTCTTTTCGTAAACCCTGCATATTTCAATGCCTAACTCTTATTGTATATAATAACAGCCAATCCCACGTATCCGGTTGATACTCTTCCATTCACGTGAAGGACTTCATAGCAATCCTTCTGTGATGCTTCACAGCCATCACACCGAATAAGTATAGGCCCAGGACTATGACATAGAAGGTAAAAAAGCCATAACATTAAGTAAGTGGCTACTATCGAAAATCATGCGTAAACTAAAGGTCAGGGAGAGAGATGTTTTTTTACTAATCTCCTTTCCGCTTGTTTTTACCCCATGTCCTAATGAAGTGAATCAAATCTTTCTGAAATGCTGACAGCTTACGATATTCTTCAGTCACACCAACTGAGGGCCTTATGCTCGGAGATCTAGCTAGGTGGCCATTGATAGAGTCGTCGTTACATTCCAATTCTTCCTCTCTGATGTCATCTGCCACTTCTTTCGCTAAAAAGCTTATAGCTAACGTAATGGGGACTTGTTTACCACCGACGTTGATTGTATAGTCTAAAGCAGCTAACCGGCCCTCAAGCGAATTATCTTTCGATGGTGACTCCGGGCTAACTCCGGCTACCTCCGGCTTCTCAAGAGGTGGTGACCTTTCAACAAGGGCTGCGTTACGCTTCTCAAAAAGGGGATGGCCTTTCCAAAGGGGTTTATTCAACCTTGTGCAAAGGGTTGCCATTTTCATGGCTTGGCTCTTGTTTATTAAGCATGTCATCAAAGCTTTCATACCCAAACAAAGTAGGAGATATAAACGACTCATTCGGGGGATAACCTGATTTTTCCCAATTCACTGCCATGGCTTCCTTAAGCCGAATTATCATTCTGCAAATCATTTTTTGTATCTCTGGCCCAATCTTCCTCACAACCTGAGTACAATAACATATAACCTATTACCACACAAAGTGTAATATACCATATGAAAGTGTTTTGAAATGGACTAGCCAAAAATTCACCTAGGATGCAACTTCCTCAATGAATGTATAAGTACCATCCCTAGGAAGCCTCGGATGTTTATGCCCATAAGCAGCATGAACAACTTTTTGGGAAAAAAACATAATCAAATGAGTGAATGTACAAGGTCAAACAAAAACCATTATCTTGTAGCTATGTCCAGTAAAGGTCAACCATTGCTATAATATATTTGAGGATTTTCATTTTAAAAAAGCATATTACACCTTTGACAATCACTCTAACATAAGAAAATAATCATAAATCAACTTCTAAGGACTCAATACTCACACCAAAGTCTCCATAGTCCTCAGTTTTAGTCCTATCAGTTTCCACCACCCGGCACACCAACTCTGAATCCCACACCATCACCCGTGGAAAGACATTCCATTAAACTGGTGGTCTTTTCAAGTGATCCAAGTAAAATATCTGAACACCAACATAAAATTAAGGGGTGGTATCCATTAGAAGGTTAGTGTATAGGAGAATGGAATTAGAATTTATGTACTTAAAAATAAGACTTTACTGCCAAAAAACGTGTACACCCTCCACAACCACCAGCATATCCCTTGGCATGAAACCTTTTCAGAAACATCTTAGCATAATCTAATAGCCAATCTAGAACAAAAGAGCACCAATCGTAATTTCCTGCGTTGGAAGCAACTATGACAGGGGGCAACCAGGACACTACCATTTGTTGTGGCGCACAAGATCAAACCTAAAGTAGCCACAAGGAAAGCCATCTGAAGCTTTCTCCGATCATCATCAGTATACAACGGTACAATATCACCTTTGTCCTTCTACATCAAGCACTGCTTCATCAACACTAATTTTAACAATCGACCTAACATTACCATATTCGTCAATATTTTCTTGAGGGGTACCATATCTTTCAACAACAACAGCAACCAACGCAAGAGTTGCTTCTCCTACGCCTTCAGCATTTGGGACTTATAATGGTCCCATAGGCAACCCAAGAACACAATTAACTTGAATAGGGAACAAAGGAAACTTCATATCACCAATAACAAGGGCATCACGAACAACCCTTGACATCAACCAATAACATAGTTGTCGTGGGAGGAAATTCAGCTTAATTTCCAACAAGCCACCAAAACGCATTGCCTTGACAGCTTCAACTATCGTCGGATCAAGGTCATTTATCAGTTTGCTCCAAGCATCCACCCTACAAGTTACATTGGGAGGTTGAAAATGGTAGAGCAAAGAGGAATTT